TCTATGCGTGCCAGGGTCGGGGGGCGTGGCAGGCGTGGCACTTTCTCGACACCAGGGGGGGTGCGCAGGGGGTGGTCTCTCACCGCGGCGTCTATGCGTGCCAGGGTCGGAGAGCGCGGCAGGCGCGGCATGTTCTCGACACCAGAGGGGGTGCGCAGGGGGTGGTCTCCCTATGCGTGCCAGGGTCGTCCAGGCATTGCAGGCGTGGCGTTTTCTCAACACCAGAGAGGGTGCGCAGGGGGTGGTCTCCCTCTGCGTGCCAGGGTCGTCCAGGCATAGCCTCTAGTGCGGGATTGCGTATTACCTTTCGTATCCAAGTGCCAGGCGACGCCGGATATGACCGTCACAGATGACTCCTCAACCCCCCCTCTCCCCCCACACGTCCTCCCCCCCCCCCCCCCCCCCCCCCTCCTTTCAACGACCACAGGGGGCACCTGAGAGCATGGCGGCGGTGGTAGTGTTAGCGCGGTTCACACAAGACATAAAATCAGTATGTGGGGTTCCTCGGTAGCGTAATTGTTGTTGGCGTTGTTGTTGTTGTTGTTGTTGTTGTTGTTGATGGTGGTGGTGGTGGTGTTATTCCTAACCCTCCTTGTGTTGGGTACTCGTTATGAATAAAGCACTGTGGTATCCTGCCCTCTCCTCCTTCTTTTTTCCTGTGTTCGCAGTGCCCTGCGGGGCTGCGATCTGCGCAACTGTCGCCGCTTTCGTGGGCTCCTGGGAGGCCCAGCGGAGGTGCGTCTTACGCAGACCACTTTGAGGCCTCCCTGTCCCTTGGGGGGCTGCGATCTGCGCAACTGTCGCCAATTTCGTGGGTTTCTGGGAAGCTCAGCCGAGGTACGTCTTACGCAGATCACTTTGAGGCCCCCCTGTCCCTTGGGGGGGCTGTGATCTGCGCAACTGTCGCAACTTCGTGGGCTCCTGGGAGGCCCAGCGGAGGTGCGTCTTACGCAGACCACTTTGAGGCCTCCCTGTCCCCTGCGGGGCTGCGATCTGCGCAGCTGTCGCCACTTTCGTGGGTTCCTTGGAGGCCCAGCGGAGGTACGTCTTACGCAGACCATTTTGAGGCCCCCCTGCCCCCTGGCGGGGCTGCGATCTGCGCAACTGTCGCCACTTTCGTGGGTTCCTGGGAGGCCCAGCGGAGGTACGTCTTACGCAGATCATCTTGAGGCCTCCCTGTCCCCTGCGGGGCTGCGATCTGCGCAGCTGTCGCCACTTTCGTGGGTTCCTGGGAAGCTCAGCGGAGGTGCGTCTTACGCAGACCACTTTGAGGCCTCCCTGTCCTTGCGGGGCTGCGATCTGCGCAACTGCCACCACTTTCGCGGGTTCCTGGGAGGCCCAGCGGAGGCACGTCTTACGCAGACCACTTTGGGGCCTCCATGGCCCCTTGGTGCACCTGGCGCGCACCTGGCGCGCTGGGCGCACCTGACGCACCTGGCGCGCTGGGCGCACCTGGCGCGCACCTGGCGCACCTGACGCACCTGGCGCACCTGTCGCACCTGTCGCACCTGGCGCGCACCTGGCGCGCACCTGGCGCGCACCTGGTGCGCTGGGCGCACCTGACGCACCTGACGCGCTGGGCGCACCTGGCGCGCACCTGGCGCACCTGGCGCGCACCTGGCGCACACCTGGCATACCTGGTGCATCTGGCGCGCCTGGCGCGCTTGGTGCAACTGGCGCACCTGGCGCACCTGGCGCGCACCTGGCGCACACCTGGCATACATGGTGCATCTGGCGCACCTGGCGCACCTGGCGCGCTGGGTGAACCTGGCGCACCTGCAACACCTAGCGCAGACCTGGCGCACCTGGCCCGCCTGTCGCACCTGGCGCACCTGGCACACCTGTCGCACCTGGCGCACATGGCGCACCTGGCTCACTTGGCGCGCCTGGCGCAGATGGCGCACCTGGCACACCTGGCGCAACTGGCGCACTTGGCGCACCTGGCGCACACCTGGCGCACACGTGGCGCACACCTGGCGCAAAAGGCGCACATGGCGCGCGCCTGGCGCGCACCGCACCTGGCGCGCACCTGACGCGCTGGGCGCACCTGGCGCACCTGGCGCGCTGGGAGCACCTGGCGCGCACCTGGCGCGCTGGGCGCACCTGGCGCACCTGGCACACCGGGCGAACACCTGGCGCACACGTGGCGCACACCTGGCGCACCTTGCGCATCTGGCGCGCCTGGCGCACCTGGCACACCTGGCGCACCTGGCGCACCTGGCGCACCTGGCGCGCTAGGCGCACCTGGCGCACACCTGGCGCACACCTGGCGCACCTGGCTCACTTGGCGCGCCTGGCGCGCACCGCGCCTGGCGCGCACCTGGCGCGCACCTGACGCGCTGGGCGCGCCTGGCGCACCTGGCGCGCTGGGAGCACCGGGCGCGCACCTGGCGCGCTGGGCGCACGTGGCGCACCTGGCGCGCCTGGCGCGCACCTGGCGCACACGTGGCGCACACCTGGCGCACCTTGCGCATCTGGCGCGCCTGGCGCACTTGGCACACCTGGCGCACCTGGCGCACCTGGCGCACCTGGCGCGCCTGGCGCACCTGGCGCACACCTGGCGCACACCTGGCGCTCGTGGCGCACCCGGCGCACTTGGCGTCTGGCGCCACTGGCGCACCTGGCGCACCTGGCGCGCCTGGCGCGCCTGGCGCACCTGGCGCAACTTGCGCAGCTGGCGCACCTGGCGCGCCTGGCGCGCTGGGCGCACCTGGCGCACCTGGCACACCGGGCGAACACCTGGCGCACATTTGGCGCACACTTGCTGCACCTGGCCCGCCTGGCGCTCGTGGCGCACCCGGCGCACTTGGCGTCTGGCGCCACTGGCGCACCTGGCGCACCTGGCGCGCCTGGCGCGCCTGGCGCACCTGGCGCAACTTGCGCAGCTGGCGCACCTGGCGCGCCTGGCGCGCTGGGCGCACCTGGCGCACCTGGCACACCGGGCGAACACCTGGCGCACATTTGGCGCACACTTGCTGCACCTGGCCCGCCTGGCGCATCTGACGCACCTGGCGCGCCTGACGCACCTGGCGCACATGGCGCACCTGGCGCACCTGGCGCACCTGGCGCACCTGGCGCACCTGGCGCACCTGGCGCACCTGGCGCGCCTGGCGCGCTTGGCTCACCTGGCGCGCATGGGCTTCTGGGAGGCTCAGCGGAGGTACGTCCTACGCAGATCACCACTGTACCATGGCGCCGAAATGTCCTTCGGTATTGAGTGGTCCTGAATGCAATTGCCATTTGTGTAGGAAGGTTTGAGTACGTCGCAGGATAATTGTTTTTGTTGCCATTGTTGTTGAGATTTGATTTCGGAATAATGCGTAATTATTGTTGATCCCCCTTCCGGTAACATATGTGTTCTTTCAATTGAAGTGCCCCTCCTGGGGCTCACACCCTGTTGTGATAAGGGAGTTTTCTTTCTCAATATGCGTTGTTGCGCCCCGAGCAACAACAACA